ATTTCTTTATACTCTATTTCTCGCCGCGTTTATTAAAAAATCATAGAAGAGATACGTTCGTATGCAAACGTGAGTAGGGCGTATATCCGCACTGTAATAAACTGCTTTTTTACTTGTTTATTAAACACAAGTTCTTTGCCCGTAATCACAAAGTATGTAATATTCAGAGAAAATTATATGCCGCACATTATCATTTACGGGATCATAAATTGAATGTAAGAAGCTGAGAAGTTAAAGTTTATTTTTATGTACTTTAATATGAGAATAATACTTGCTATATTAGTAAGTAAAGTATAAAATATTTTTAACTTCCCGTAGGGTAATTATTGTAATGCGCCGAAAATCGAAATTGAAAATTATTACATTTCTCAACGTTTTGAAGGTTTCTGAACATTTTGGCATACCGCAGATAAAATGGATGTGTGTTTGTGTGTATGCATGTATGGATATAAATTTCCAGTCACGTTTTCGGGCGCACGGATCAACCGATTTAAATGGTTCAAACAACATTCGATCCCTATTGATAGGGAGATGAGCTGACTAGTTTTTGGCAAAGGCAGATCCGGCAGTTACGGAGATAAAGAGCAAAGAGTGCAGAAAATAGAAATCGAGTTTTTGAGAGAACGGAGCATCCCATTTGAATGATCTAAAAAATATTCAATTAGTAATGATTGGGAGAAGTGTTTATTAGTTTTTGGCAAAGGCAGGCCCAGACATTTCGAAGATCCGGAGCTGAATGTGTAAAAAATGGCAGTTTTTGAGAGAACTAAGCGTCCGGTTTAAATGATTCAAAGAACTTTCTGCTTGTCTTAACAAAATAATTGATTTTGAAAAAAAATTTTTTTGTTTCAACTTTTTTTTTCAAAAAAATTTTTTTTTGTATATCTAAAATAATTCAGATTTTATTTTCAATTCTGACTAATGTTCTAATATACTTTAAACAAATAATTTGAACTTTGCAATTCAGTTTATATAATTCTTATAAATATTATACAATGTTACAGTATTTATATATAACAATCTATTTGAAAACATTCAATATTCTTCGAACATTTCGTTACGGTACGGGAAGTTCCAGCAATTTGCCTTAAGGCACGATGCCATACACCCCACTAGTTTAATTTGATATTGATTGCAAATATATAGGGAAAAGTGTTTCAATATATTTGTATGTTTCAATATGAATTTCTACTTTCGGATAAAGTTCAAACTTGAGAAAAACTTAACTAAACAAAATTTTAACTGAATAAACCTACTATTTGTGTGATATAGAGTGGGGCTAAATAAATAACAAATAGGTATTTTTAAATTAGATTAATTAACAATTAACATACTTGTTCTAAAGTGGGTAAACGTTCATCTACTTACGATAATTGTTAAACGTGTAAAAATTACATATTTTAAATATAAATTTATAAATTAGAAATTTTGAATATTTAAATATATTTGATCAGTATTTGGTTGTGATAGATATTTGGATAGACTGATAACAATTGAAATTAATTATTAATTATTTGTGTTAAAAGTTAGTTCGATTATTATCATAATAATGATATTTACAAAAAAAAAACAATTTAATTTCATGGTATGCGATTTGATTATTCAAATTAATTCGATGGATTCTATAATTTTTCTTAGGAATACTTTGCAACTCGAACTTTACACAATAATTTATTTGAAAAAATGTGTTCTAAAATATATTTAATTTTTTGTCTATTTGAATAGTGATCATAGAACTACATGTTCTATGAGCTGTTATTCTGGCATATATCTGGATCTAGATATATTTTTAACAAAAGGGCAACCCAGTGGACAACCAAGTGAAGAACTCTTTTTTGTACATGTATATATTTGATATGTATAATAGTTTTGGCGTATAACATAAAAGTGAATCAATCACATTATCACTATCTGCAGAAAATATTTATACTTGGTATATATCAAGTAAAATAATATATATTAACAATTACAAGATAAACAATATTTACTCTCGTCGATAAATTTCTTGTATTATTATAGTGTTTGCTCTGAAATGTTACCAAAGATATAAATTACTATATTTATACAGCTCGCCATATACCCGCAGACAAAGTTTCCATAAGTATCTCTGTAATATAATATAGTTGAATCTATGTAGTCTCCAGTAACCGCATCCGATGACGCAATACTGTAAGTTGCACGACTAACCGCTCGACTGTGTGTCAACGTCGGTGTAGTTTGTACAAATATAGTTAGAGGCAGCTTCGTCTGTCTACAGCAATCAAGTAATCTATTCCGCCTGTTTGCCAACCCCCGACCGTGCTCGAACCACCAGACATTCGCAACTGGACGTAGGAAATCGGACAAATTTTTGAATAAAAACATTTTTTTTAGTGTTTATTAATAATACTTAACGCATAAAATGTTATTTTGTGACAGCCAACAAATAGAGAAACGCACATTAATAATGATCAATTACAGAAGCAGAATCGAAAATTAAAATCCCGTCTAGAACAATCTTAAAGTGTGGTGCTTAAAAGTTTCCGATCAAGATTTAGCCAACGAAGTGTATTCGGAAAGCCAGCCTACCAGACTAAATCTCGAATTAACCACTGATAGTATTCAGATACTTTTATTTTTTTATTATTGATTTATTTTTCCGTTTTTTTTGTTTCTGTTTTAGATTCTTTACTGGACGTATCTATTAATATCCATTTATCATAATGTTATTCTTTTACATACATTATCTCTCTGTTTCACGGCTTTTAACAGATTAACAGATCGCCAAAGTAATAAATTATAAAAAAAAAACAAATATAGGGCCTAATAATTTCAAGCCCTAAGTCTTATATAGCCGATTTACTATTTGAAAATAAATGTGGGAAAAACAAGTAAATGCTCATTTTTCATCAATATTCAATAACGAATCAATAACGAGCAGAGAGTTTTTATGTCTATATCTATATATCGAAGCTTAGTAAATGACGAAAGTTGATGTCGGAAAATTTCACAATTAATTCAAATATATTAGAAAAGTCTACACATTGCGCACTTGTTCTTTGTAAAATTTTGTTTTTTTAGTTAAATCGTGAAATATAGTTATAACTATTCTGCATTTTTAATATGTATAATAAAAACACATATACATTTTACAATCGATTATAAAACTGTAGTTTGTCTAATATCAATATCCGAATCGTATCCAACAGACCCATTCCTTAAAAGCGGTGCCCATTCAACCCCCAATGCAAACATTTCTTCCACTAGGGATGTTGGGAATTTGTAAGAAGTGCTCGAGTGCACAAGGGTTGAACTCAGAAAACGCGAACGCGGCGCTCTTGATATGGGTTATATAGTCTTGTTGATTTTTAGATTTATTTTCTTTGCTGTGTGTGAACTTATTTATCTCCCACATCTGGTTATAATAAAATCAACTTACTGATATTGTGAATTTTTGCCACATTGATATATATATATATATATATAATATATATATATATATATATATATATATATATATATATCAATATATATTATATATATATATATATATATATATAACATCATCATCCTTTATCATCTCTACGATCCAGTTTTTAAAGCAAGCGTTGCATCTTCTTACATAGGATTTACAATGGATTTGAGGTTATATACATATGATTTGAGTATGAGAATAGAGTTTTGTGAGGTGCGAGTAATGAAGAAAGTTCTGATTTCAGCCAAATGAATATTTTGAATACTCCTTTAAAAGCTCCTAAATGCTTAGATACGATATGCGTAAAAATTTCAATTGGTTTGACTTAATTTTATTTCTAGTGTATTGGGAAGGTTTCTTAAGAAGTCACCAGTAGACATACGTGAATATCAATTTCAATGAATCTAAAGACACTCACCAATTATGAATCTAAAGACTGCAAATTCTTATGCGAAAATTATTTCAAAGATTTTGTTTGATAGACATGTATCTCTACGCATGTCGTGATTTTAAATTGTGTAGTTCAATAAAGCTTACTTTTATTAACAGAAAGTAACTGTAAACTTTTCCAATTTTAATCAAACAACGTTTTATCAAAGGCAAAAAGTACTGTAAATTGCATAGGCACAACTACTGCGTCTTTAACAAACCAGGGACTTCTGTTTGTTGCTCATGGTCCATAAATTACTGACACGCAGCACTCCCATCTAAAGACGAGGCCTACGCGTCGTACAACAACATACTATAAACATTCTATAAAGTATAAATCTTCGTTTGCCTGCTAATAGAAACAAAGTGCTCTCTCCATATAAAATCACCCATTCGTTTTCGTTTCTGTCTAGCATCACAGGGAGGATTTGATACTGAACGTTTACTTTGCGGTTCCGAAAGCGTAGGCACAATCATCCCTTTGGCATAGTTACAGAAGATGAAAAATTGACAATATTTGGTACAAATTTGCTAATACTTTGCAAATAAAATCATATGTGAAATTTATATTTTTATCATATTTGTACTGACAGTTTGTATTAAAAACTTTGAATAGTCCAGTGTGTCGTATGTATAATCAGAATAGGATTACTGGTTTCGTACGAACCTCAGCCACATGCACATATACATCTTTCTGAGATACGTTATATTTCATTCATATTCTGTAAATACCTAAATCACGTCGACCCTGTGTATTTTCAAAACAATACGTAGTTTAGAAACGAACACGAGAGGGATAACAACCCCATACAACGATTTGTTAATTTTCAATTATTTACATCGCAACAACCCTTAGCTTCGCGCACCCTCTGCTCTGTAAGCACCCCTGCCATTGATTGCAATATGCACACGGCCAATATTTGAATTAAAATTCCTCATACCACTGATAATGCAATGGGGATAGTAATAGGCGCATTGTAGGAGAAGCTGAATATGTCAATGTCAATGTATGTTGATGGTATTGATCTTTATTATTTACAGATTGCGAATAATTATATTTTCATTATATTTTAGATATAATATTGATCTAACGAATAAAATATAAAATGATAAAGTAATGAAAAATGATCATTATCCTTCAATAATTAAGTTGTATGAATGTCGTTGCGAGGTATAGTGTAATAAATTTTTGACTGCAATAGTAATAATGATATATATGTGAAAATGTATTTTTTTAATTTTTTGCAGAGAAATTCAATATCACCTGCAGAACGAGAAAAATACAGGCCGCGCAGTCCGCCAGAAAACGAGCATAAAAAAATGAAAAAAGAAGAAAAAGATATTGGTCATGTGAGTACTTATGATAAAAGCTTATTATAAAAAAATAAATAACATTAATACCTTACATATTTCAAAATGGTAAAACTCGAGTAAGGATAATATAATAAATTATTTACCATGAATTTATTCGATTGATTAATCTGTATCTTAATCAAAATTCCAAAAATATTAATCTTCTTATGAGTATAAAACGACTAATGTATTTATTTTCTATAACTTTCAGTAATTTGTGGAATCAAGCTTCAACTAATTTTACAAACGTGATTTTCTGAAGTCAAGGGTGCTTCATTCCTATGTGAATTACCCTCTACATTGCACGTTAACTGTTTAAGTGATTTCGGTGAATACTGCAAATGAACTTGATTTGTTTCTCATTGCAAGCTAATTTTGTTGTAATGAAAGTAGAGAAGCAAAAATTTCAGCGTCGTCAAAAAATACTAATAAAATGCACTAACGTTTAAACGTATAATGGTTAACTAGCTTTTATGAGCTTTACTCAAAATCGTAAATCGTATAAGCTTCAATTAATAAACCATTATCAATAATTTTTTTATAATCATTATTTTTGTACTTCAATTGGCGATAAAGCCAATTTAAAAAATTGTAGCTAATATTTATTTCTTATGGATACATTGAGTTTCGGTTTGTCTTGACATAATGCGACTCTGAGTTTCTCTCAGTGTTAATACCAATTTCATCTGGTAGAACAAAACAAATTCGTCATCGTTTTCGTCGCATTCATGTTTTTTGCATCACTTTTGTCTTTTTCATTCCAACGTTTCGTTTTCAACTACCGCCGCCGCCGTCGCTGCCAGAACTAAAGTTACCGCCCGAAGAAATGAATCCGCTTTAAATTTATAACTCGTGTTTCCGTTCCGACTATAGAGCTATTTGAAGTAATTGTTTTTATGTGCAGAACGATGCTTATGAGCATTAAAAACACAGCACTGTACACTTTTTTGTTATTTTGTTATTCTTCTCGCGCTATCTCTCTTACCAATTGGTCACGGCTAAATGGAAGTCGCACTCGATAAATTTCTCGAGTCAGAATTAAAGCGAGTTTGTCTCACTCGATGGCAACTACTAACTAACGATAACTGATGGGTGTGTATTTTTGATTTAGTATTATTAGAAATGAATACATATAATCTTATGGTAGGCACAAAAGCTTCCTCTGTGCCCTAGAAACTTAATTTGTGATTTCTTATAGGAACAGAATTTTTTTGAAATATTCAAACCGATTGATCAGTGTTCTCGAAATCGTCGGCGAGAAATTGTATCTGCACATACATCCATTGTATAATGTAATGTAATACAAATGTAAAGATATATGCACAAATTCAATTTTGATTTTTTGTGATTACTATAACTTGCCCTACGGAAAGTTAATTAATATATGCAATCTTAAAAATAATTAAATAAAAAGTTGCATGTAGAAATATTTTTCTCATTAATAAATTATACAAAGTTCTTATGGTCATTACAATATTATAAAAACACAAAGAATTACAACTTATATACTTTTTCTTATTTATCTAATTTATTAGTGAAACCCAATCACTTTCATTGCGTTAAAAATGAAGTTTAATACTTCATTTCAGTTCGATTCTGTTTTTTAAAAATTATCATTTACAAAGGGTTTGTGCACTGTTATCGCTTTTTTCCAATGAATTCACGTTTTTTACGCCGTGTGGAACCCGACCGCGAGCTTTCAGGTTTTTGTCAGCGTCGCGGGCCGTCTGGACATCCAAGAACAATAACGTCGAGCAAACCGACCGCCTTTTTTCAGCAACCATTAGCGTAATGAAGTTCATCTCGTACCTGCTAAAAGAAAGTTTCGTTTTGCATCTATGCTCCTTCAGTAGATTTGCTCTTGAGATGGATCGTTACGTGCTTTTTATAGGTCTTTTTACGATCCAGACTAAGGAAAGTTTAGGTGCACTTTTTTGCAATTGACAATAGTTTTACAAGTTTTAGATATTGAAAAAGCTTGAACTTTTCACACACGTCTAATCGAAGTTCTAAAGATCTCTATTTAAAGAATTGCCCACTTGTACAAGGGCAGCGCAAATTAGCTAGCATGAGGTAGAATATCGAATCCATTTATCTAATATGCATGATAAATTATTCAGTTTTTACGCATGGTTTAAAATTACCTATTTTCATTTATTTCGGCATATTTTCAGTTATTTTAATTAAGTACGTTCATCTGCTTTGAGCTATCCGGAAAGTCTCTGAATTATTGTTCTGAATTTTAACTTGAGGTTTATTTTCCATATTTATTCATTTTTCTGTAATGCACCGCTGCAGAAATTTTCAATCTTGATAACGATTAAAATTAAGAACGACCTCTCGTTCGGAGTCGATTATGTTCAGTTCACTGATGATAACATCAAAAATATGAAACAGGTGGTATAAACCCGTGTGGAAATATTGAATCAAGATAATTTAATTTGATTTTATTTTATAAGTTCATTCGAATTATAATAATATATTTTGTTATTAGACATAATTTTCTTACAAAATTATTATAATGAACTTTTATAATATAGTAGGTATTTATCTTATGAAGTAGTTGTTTATAAGAATTGGTGTTAAGTAAATTTGATTTAGTTATTTTATTAATATTACTGGCGTTTTACCTGGCAGTCATTTTACCCTTGTGCATAAATATATGCGTAGAAACTCTTCAAGGCCGTTACATTAAATAAAGAATTTTGAGGATCTTTATTGCTAGGCGTTTCAACATATTATTTTATGTCGTCCTCAGCGGATATATTTAGTGTACAAAATTTTATATGTAGCAGACACATAGTACTGCCACAAACATGTACAAAATAATAAGAGAATAATAAATACCCTAAATATGTTATTTACAATAATTAAATGATTTTATAACTAAATATAATATTATGTAATGATGTTTTACATTGAGGTTACAAACATGTCCGGCAATAAAGATTTTGATAAATATAATATAAATTTTTTTCTGATAAAAATAAAATAACTTTATACACACATATATGTACACTTTTATCTTATACAAATACGTACTCTCATTTAAAATATTGTTCAAAATTATTTTTGTTAAATAATAACGAAACATAATTTCATAAATATGTTTTAAATTTAAATAATGGTTTTTTATAAAAAGTTAGCACCCTAGAAAAATTTGAATTCAAATAATGGAGTTTCAGTATAAATCTATCAAACATAGATGGGTTAATTCGTTACTTCGTTCGTTATTTTATATATTTATTATTATTCGTTATTTTATATATGTTTACACGAAAAGTAATAAACAAAACTTGATCAACCGGAATTAAAATGAAGGGCTTCACCTCTAATATCTATAAGAAGTATATAAACTGAATTGCAATGTTACAATTATTTATTTGAAGTATATAAGTGAGCTTCAATAGTTTAACTAGAATTAAAATTAAATTCCAAATCATGTTCGATATTAAAAAAAAATTCTCATCATCACGAATTTAATGATTTTTGAATCATTCAAATCAGATGCCGTTATCTCAAAAACTTTATTTACTTTTTCTGGACTGTTATCTCGAAAACGACTGAACATTTTCTCTTTTCCATATTCACACGCACGCATCTATTTTTTCTGAGATTTGTCAAAATGTTCAGATACCTCTGAAACGTGAAGATATGCAAAAAGTTTCGTTTTTTGGCGATTACAATAACTTGCCCTACGAGAAGTTAATAAAAAATATATATGGAGTTTCGAGCTGAGTAAAATCGACAGAAGCCTTGCTAAAATACAAATAGATTTATTTTCTTCACAGTACTAAAAAGGTTATCTATCTCCGTTTTAAAATAAACATAAAAACAAAACATGGCAAACGAATGCGCAACCTTTCATTCGATAAAGGTATAAAAAACAACAAGAAAACGAGAAGTTCCGAGCCCGCGTTTAGCGGATTTCACGGAGAATTCGACTGATTCGTTCCGCACGTTTTAATCTGCCCGTGATGCGAGCAATAAAATCCATTTTCTATGTATTTGTATGTGAATATTTCAAGCCCTATAGTGTTATTCAACGTTTTTACGACATTCCTATACGTAGCCATTTCCGATTCGTTGCCGGTCATAAGCAAAATAGAATGTGATACACCATTAGACAATTTATTAAATTTGAATGTATATAAAATAGTGTTAGTTAGAAAATTTTGCAATAACTTAGCTTTTTTTATTAACATGCAGTAATTTGTGGTAATTTGCTTTAACATATTCCGTTTCTTTCCGCTGTAAAGTTGGGCTAGTAATCCCTACCTGAACATGTCGCATAAAAATATGTAGTCAAAATATACTGTTAAAATATTCATAATGCACACATACACACACACATATATATATATATATATATATATATATATATATATATGTATATATACAGACCAGACTTGACGTCAAGCCGAAACCGAAACGGCGTGATAGTATTATCTCATGTTGTTTAGAAATTATGAGCTTATAAGTGCAACTTAGAGCTTCGGTGAAATTATGACCATTTTTCGGTTATTATGGTTATTTTTTACTAATTTTGTTCATTTAAATTTTGGGAGCGTAACCGTGAATAACTTTTCTAGGACCACAATAAAAATCAATAACACAGTTGTTCCAAGTTTTCAAGAATTAAGACTTTTTGTTGAACTATGAATTTAAAATTTAACTAGTGTATAGCATTGTGCATTAAGGATGTAACTTCCCGTACTTACTTTTCGTGCTTTTTAAAAAAAAGAGAACTGAAGAAGAAATTGATAACAGATCTATTCAAATTATATCTATTTAACCCGCTATTACTTTAAAAAACTTTTCTCTAATGTGAAATTATTCTACTTAGAATCTTTGTATTGCCTATTGAAATATATTATTTGTGGGGCGATATATTTATTATCAATGCATATGTAGACTTTAGTTTGATAAATGAGATGACAGTTGATTTTAATTGCGCCATTTCAGTGATCGTGAACCATAATTTAGTGTTTCATTCATACACCATCATAACGAAATGCGTCCAGTCGTTTCATGGAAACCCATCTTACTTACAAATGCTGCAGTTAGCGATAATGGTTGCTTTCATAATATTAAGAGAACCATCGATAGCATTGTGCATATTTTTGTGACGTACTGCAATTCGAAGATTCATATCTTATCATACCCAAATGCATTTTGGGTAACTTGCATTCTCTATAAGTAAATAATGTGTTTATTATTTTATATTCAGAGTGATGGAGAAAAGAGTGACCAAGATTTAGTAGTAGATGATGCTTCGGAAGAGCCTGTTTCTCCAGGACCACACAACGGCACAGCAAGTCCACGAGAAAATGGACATGGTGGTCCTGGAAGCGCCCAACATCTCGACAAATTACCACCTAAGAAAGAACATGCTTCGCTTGGACCTCATTCACCTAGGTAAATATAACACTTTTGGTAAACGGGAACCAAACAAGTTGAATAAGCATTTAAAATGAATTTCGAAACCAATCGTCATTTTTGTTATTTATATTATTTCTATATATTCTTGGTTATTGTTTATAATTATAATAATTACAAAAATATTTTGGTAATAGATCAGGAACGTCGAGTAATGCATCTACTCCATCAACAAAGAAATTGGATGGTGATAAACCGCCAACGCCTATCTCCAAATCAGTAACTCCGACTAGTGGCGGATCTAGTGGATCAGTTGGAGGTCCTGGAGGCTCTGGATTGAAACCCGTCGTCAAACCGCCTGCTTTGGGGGCCGGCTATCCTCACTATTTAGCTACTATGAATGGTAATTTTTATAATTGATTTCATTGCTTAATAAATATGGTAATATATAGTTTAGTTTAATATTTTATATTTCTCATTTCTCAAGGTGCAGGACCACATGATCTGCAAGCAGCATATGGAGCAGCGAGTGCTATGCACAATAATTTGCCGGCAGCCCTCAATAATTATCCGCGACCACCACTACAGGTGGGCTATGATCCTCACCAGCAAATGCGCGCTCCTTTAGGACCAGCCGGTTTGGGAGCAATCGGTGGTGGAAAACCGTAAGTTTTGGAGATTTTAATATTACATATAATTTTTGTAAATAATTAAATTTTACTAAATATTCCAAAAACTATATTGATTTGTATGTTATTATTTTGTACAAATAGTGGTTGCTTAATTTATGAACTATTTATTTTGAATTTTATTCCTGCGCAACATTTTTTCTTTCAAGAAATTTCTTGAAAATGATTCGAAATTATGTGTGAAATTCTGCAGTCTGCAATTCAACGAAATCTGACATAATTTAAAAAATACAAGTTTGCAAATTTAAATTGTTTATTATACTTTGTGTTTTCTTGTACCTAATAGCCTCCATGTTAAGTAAAATAATATGATTAATAAACTTATTTTCATTTCAGAGCATATTCTTTTCACGTGAGCGCTGACGGTCAGATGCAACCAGTACCATTTCCTCCTGATGCACTAATAGGTCCAGGAATACCTCGCCATGCCCGTCAAATTAACACACTTTCTCATGGTGAAGTTGTGTGTGCGGTCACCATATCAAATCCCACTAAGTATGTGTATACAGGAGGCAAAGGTTGTGTAAAAGTATGGGATATTTCACAACCTGGAAATAAAAATCCAGTAAGCCAGTTAGATTGCTTGGTAAGTAGTTCATTAATAATATATTCTAATTGTACTCTGATGCTCTATGTGTTCTTAATAATTTGAAACGATTTATTATTACAGCAACGAGATAATTATATTCGTTCAGTGAAACTTCTACCAGACGGTCGTACACTAATAGTTGGCGGTGAAGCTTCAAATTTGTCCATTTGGGATTTGGCGAGTCCCACTCCACGGATCAAAGCCGAACTGACATCTTCCGCGCCCGCCTGCTACGCCTTAGCCATTAGTCCAGATTCAAAAGTTTGCTTCAGCTGTTGTAGCGACGGTAACATAGCCGTATGGGACCTCCATAATCAAACTTTGGTGCGACAGTTCCAAGGGCACACGGACGGCGCCTCCTGCATCGATATCTCCGCCGATGGCACTAAACTCTGGACCGGCGGCCTAGACAACACCGTACGGTCATGGGATCTTAGAGAAGGCAGACAATTGCAGCAGCACGATTTTAGTTCGCAAATATTTTCATTGGGATATTGTCCTACGGGTAAGTTTTGATATCAATTCATTATCCGAGTTCACAGCATTTTTCGTATCTATATTTCTATATTCGTTCTGAATCGAATGAGACCAAATTTGAAAAGGATTGTGTGTGTGCGTATGTGAGCAGATTTTTGACCTTTCGTCGATGTTTTCCCATTGTGCTGAATATCTTAAATATGATTTAAAATCAATTTTTCTATCGATTATAATGTTTTGTTTTAATCAGAATACCTGACTTTTAGTAGATCTTCATTAGGGTATTTATATGGTATATTATATCATATTTTTCTTTATAATTAACTTTAGTAAAAATTAACACTTGTGCAAGGCGTTCAAAAAGTTCCTTTTCCTCATTTTTGGTCATATTTGTAAAATTAAGAATGAAAGAATGAAATTATTAATGTGAGAGACTATTTTAATCGACTTTTGGAATTTTTCATTCGGCAATTTTCTCATTCATAACGAATTGTTTCATGTAAGCATACTCGTTGTATATATTATTATCAAATATTTGATGGATTGTTGTAATTTCAATATCAAGTAATTGGAAACATTCAATATATACCTATACTTTTTGGAAACCCGGGATAATCCGGGACAAATATTGCTTTCAGAAAAACCCGAGACACGGTGTGAAAATCCGGGACTGCCCCGGCTAAACTAGGACGTATGGACACCTTATATGACGGCATTTACAAAAAATATTAAATGGATAATACCTATTTGATTTCTTTTATTGTTTAGTATGTATTTATTAGATACTTATATAAACAAATTTAGCGCGAATAAGTAGCTTTTACTCTGAATGCGAATGAATACAAGCGCAAATTAATACGGAAGGTGGTTAATTACAGATAAATTCATAGAAAACTCATAGAAAAATATTTTTTTCTTAGGTGAATGGTTAGCAGTTGGTATGGAAAATAGTAATGTTGAAGTGCTCCATGCATCTAAACCAGACAAGTATCAATTACACTTACACGAGAGTTGTGTATTGTCGTTGAGATTTGCTGCTTGCGGCAAATGGTTTGTTTCAACAGGCAAAGATAATCTTTTGAATGCTTGGAGGACACCTTATGGTGCCAGCATATTCCAGGTTAGTGTACTCCACTCCTAATATTTAAAATAAAATATTTTAAAAATATTTTTAAATTAAATATGAAAACTATTTACCATAATATGTATAAACTTATATTTTTTACCAAATTCTTAA